GGTTCGTCCGGGGTATCGTCCTGACGATCTTCATATTCTTGGTAATCATAATCATACAGATTTTCTAGCTCTGTCATACGATCGTCTTGTTTCTTTTGATTCTCTTGAATCGCTTTTAATATGTTGAGAATCTCATTCTCGTTATTTGGCGCGGAACTATCATGTCCTCCGCCATGACCACGAGAACACGTGGAAGTGCCAGTCGAAGTCGACGAACTCGACGACGAACGTAAGTTAGACGGTGTCTTCTCCGAAGACGATGATTTGTTCGGGGCTCTTTTCTTTCCCTTGACCGGTGCTTTATCATCGTCAGGGTTAGCATGGTTAGGAGCGTCCGCCATGACGCACGTGGTTTGAACTTTCAAAACCGATGAAAAAATATCTGACCACGTCAGACGAAATCGCCCCCGAATACTGATCTGATCACGTCAGAAACAAAACTGAACTCTGAAAAAGTTCTAAGAAGATATTGACCTCGTCAATATGTAAAAATATATCAAAATTGATCGAGCAAGTGAGACCACGTCTACTCGCTCCGGCTACTTGCAGTTCAATGACTTGGCGGCTGCGCAGTACTATTCACATTATCTCGGAAGTGACGTTTACGAAAAATAATTTGTTTCGGACAGACACACAGACACACGGACACACAGACACACAAGGGTAAAACAGTATACCCCCCTCTCCTTTGGAGCGGGGGTATAAATATACATGATATATTAAGGATAAATAACACAAACAAAATTTTTCTCAAGAAACTTAATTCTCTTTACATATTCAGATGCCCTTCTCACTAAAGAAATAATATCTGACCATCTTACAACTTAAGTATTGAACACTTCACCAAAATTTGGGGGAAAGTGGGAAAATGTATGTTTTTATTTCCATATTTTTTAAAAAAAGTTTCTAAGTTATTTTTTTCCATCTTTGTGGACAACTTGTAATTATTACCTTATGCAGAACATGTTCATGGGTCAAATATTTTATTGAAGACAATCAAAATTTTCTTTTTTGGCTTTCAACTGTAATCATTATTGAAAAAATGATGAAATTTGATGAAAAAAGTTTTTAGATAATCCTAAAATATGTTTATATTTTTTATGGAGTGTAAACAGTAGTACTACTTTTGAATAAACTAGGAATTGGGTACCCTTTCCACACTAAATAAAGCAAGAAAAAATAATTTATATAGTAAAAAGAAATTTATTCAATCATGTCAGGTAGGAGTTGTCTCCTCTGAAGTCTGCTGCTCAAGGTATTGAACTACCTGACACACAATTTTACTGTTCTTTGTCACTCTTGGTTTGCCATCACTTGCACATTCTAGAAATAAATGTTTAACACCTAAATTTGTATCTCTTGTGTGGGCCAGTTCAATATGCCTAAGTCCTAGTCCAGAACTTGCTATTTTGGCACGCATGTGAGGAGAAATGACTTTTGCGTCAACTAAGGGCTGCAAGGACTCACTGTTGATTTTCTTTTCTTTCTCATAATGAAGAAAGTCGAACAGAAATTTGGTACTGAAACTGTTCTCGAGTAAAGTTGATGTAGGGTTCTCCATCCTCACAACAGATTGACATAATTTCTGTAGGATGACAGCATCAGCATGTGCATCATGGGCATCATATGATTCTTGGAGCAGATCAAAAACCAAGTCTTTTTGTTTGTAACTGGTACGTCCGGGGAAATTCTTTCTGAAAAAGGGTAGAGTATCACAAAAACCCTCTATATCACTTGATACACCATGTTTCTGTAAATTGAATGACAATACAAGAGAGTCAAAAGATCTACAGTTGTGAGCCACCAATAAAGGATTGGGAAATTGATGAAGCCATGAGGAAAACTTTGTCAGTCCATCTTTGGGTGACACGGCAACCACGGGAATACCATTTTTGATTATTTGATGGTTCATCATGGCTAGACCTGTGACACAAGTGGCAGAAGTAGATATCTTCTTTTCTGGAATCATATATATATCAAATGTTTCCTTTCCACATGTTGCACCAATCTGTGTGATATCAGAATGCCTCTCTGAAAATACATGTACATAAAAATAAATTATTGTAGTTTTCTTATCGGTTTATAAATAAAAAAATAACTGTAAGTACTAATATCCATCTTATAAATTGTAAATGTCTTGAGACCTCCATTGTTAGAAATTCACATTATAATTCACTTACCCAATCCTGTGGTTTCCAGATCAAAGTATACGTAGGTGTAGGATTTCCCATCTGACAGAGGTGAAGATTTTGGTGCGGTTTGGGGTGCAGGAATCTCTAGGATGTTACAATCAGAGTCATCCTGATGGAAGTTGACATTTGATTCATAACACGTCCCTTCTCTAGTTACACGGCATGACTCGGAAGAAAAGTTTTTCTCTTTTTTCATCAGACGCTGTCTTTTGTATGATGGTTTTTCAGCTAGTTCTTTCCTTTTCCTACGCATCTCATCAACGTTGCCTATTCGTTGGTCAGTAAATTTTCCTGGTGATAGTAACATTTTTCCATTCACCTAAATTCAAAAAATACACAAGACATTGTAATACATGCACATGTACATATTTCAAAAAAGAAAAAGAAAAAGGAAAACATAAAATACTATGAAATAATAGGATGCTTACCTCATTCACATATCCACATCCTATATTTTTCTGACAAACAGCAGCTGCTACTCTGAAATCATTGCTTTCTGATCCAGCTGAAAATGTGCATTTTGGAGCCTTACTAGCAACTGTATTGTTGAGGCTTTCATTAGCTTGAGTTGAACCTAAACTGCACAGTTTTTCACTTTCAGATGCAAATTCTTTGATGATTTTACTGAAGTCTTCTCTAAAGTCATCACCACTGAAGTATCGCTTGTAGGGTAGATTTTTGGGTTTGTAAGTTGCAGGATTTTGAAGAAATTTGCACCATGCCCTGTCGCATAACTCATGAGTCCCAAAAACGTGCGTTTTAATTGCCATTATGGATTTCTTTGTGCCCTCTGAGTCACCACAATTTTGAGATACTGCATATGTAAAGCACTTTCCCAGGTGTGAAATACTTCTTGGGTTCAGCTGTTTATATTTCTTCTGCTGACGTAATGAATAAAGTCTGTTGGTAAAATGACGAACAGTATGATTTGAATCGCTTATCTTCTTGAGACCAGCATTTACTTCACTTCTAAGTCTTGCAATTGTTGTTGTGTCATCGTCCATGATAACAGTATCTACAATAATGTCTTGGCTTTCTAAGTCTTTCAGCATAGATACACACATGTCAGGTTCCATGGCTTTGGAGCTTCCAGTCCAATTTTTCCTACAATCATGGTCACTGGCTTCAATACCAAGTCTTTCAGCCCTGTTGCAGAATCTACAGAATTTATTCCTCGTAGCATAGGACACACACTTTCCTGTTTCTTTGCCTATCATTGCAGCATGTCCTAAAAAATTCATTGATAAATTTAAAAAATATATCTAAACATATACAGTTTTGAAATATTTAGACTCAGGTCAAAGCATAATGGAGGGCTCAACAATCCTTGTCCTTTATCATGTCTTATTACCGTAGCCCAAATGAAGCTTATATTTATGACAGCAACCGTGTATTATTATATTATACACCTATTTACTGACTATGAGGACAAAAGCAACTTTATCGTCCCCCCAATATTTCCTGAGGAACAGTTGCTGTGGAAGGGGGACAAAAAACTTGCTATTGACCGAATAATCAAAAAATATGTTTTTATGATACCAATATACAACACGATCCGGATAAAACCAGAAGTGTTCCAAGATCATTGTTTGGGACAAATAACACATTTATTCATCATGTATTTATATAGAAAAAAATTCAGAGGTATAATAAAACAGTAAGTCATAAAATAAAATGGACAGATTTGAAAGTTCTTTTCAGTAGCTTTTTTTCCGGATTTATATACATCTATCTCTGGTTTACATACATTACTTTTCAACAAGTGAATAAGTTCAAATGTATGTCCTGGGATGGATGGATATATAAAAAGTGCTAATGAAATGAAAATGCAAAGCTGTATTTTATTTTGTAACTAAATTTACTGAGTGACATCAAATGTGTCAAATAATCTTGTTTGCTGGAAACATATATCATGTATATGCTGCATATATATGTGTTATATGATTCTTATGAATAACAAACTACGGATTTCATTTACTAGCAAAAAAACAAATTCTTGATTATGCTTACCTGATAGACTACAATAAGATCTGCCCGAGGATCTAGTATGCCATCCCGCATCTGTAGACACAACTATTTTGTTCCCATTCCTAAAGCATAAAATATAACTTGCATAACATTCTAATTATCACTGGTGCACAAACCTTTTATACCTCATATTTAAAGTAGGGCTTGTAGATGTATTTATCAAAGAATAAAAGCAATATTATTTTGTGTGTTTTTACCTGCTCAAAACAGTCTCTTCTTCTGCAAAAGATTTGCACGTTTCTTGGGCAACACCCTCAACATGCTTCCCAGCAATTCTTTCCTTTTTCTTCAGAGTTGTGGGTGAAACAGGGGGAATATTCAGTGTAGACAAGAAGTCATTTACTTTAGCTTCTCCCAGACCAGCATGAATCATAGCTGAAAAAGAGAATAACATTTTTACACAAACTTTTCTTTTTTTCATCTTCTTCTATTCTTTTGAAAAATCTTTTACAGAATTACCACTAAGCACCACTGTTACATCTCTCTTTCTATACATAAACAGTGTGTTTATATATACAAAAGTAAACAATTTGTCAATTTGTAAAATTTTACCTAAGGCTAGTTTGGTATTTACATCCCAGGCTGGATTATTGGATTTGCTTCCAGTTGTTAACGTCTGCCTCTTTCCTGTTGGAACTGGTGACAAGTATCTACACGCACTTTGACGACATCTGATATATAACAAAGAGCCAAGGCCATAACGCTTTTCATTCACACAGTCAACTAGGTGCAATGGAAAGCCACACATAACACAACCCTTCAGCAAGTTCTCAACAATGACCCCCAGTTCCACAATACGTCTCCCACAGTCCCATGACGAGTCACTATCAGAAACATCTTCTTCAGAATCGCTAATATCATAACATTCATAATCAGTATCATGATGAACACCGACTATGTCAGATTCAGAGGGAACCCTTTCTGTTTCAGTTTCACGATCAACACGAACACTGTCTGTACAAATGTTATTATTTTCGTCAACATTGATTACGGTAATACCTTGCTGTTTCTTTTTTCTTTCATACGCCTTTCTTAAACGATGATAGTGGGATTTGCTAGTGAATTTCCCGGTCTTCGTTCTGTACATGTTTACATTGACTACAATTTCCGGTTTTAGAAAATAAGAACCCATGTATACAAGCATTGCGAATTCCGGAAAAAAAAATAGTGTAACTCTTTTACGCGGAAGATAAGAAAATTTGTTTGTGGTATGTATCCTTAAATATAAAAGTATTGGAAATTTTTCATTTACGTAAAAAAAGAGGTTAAATAAAAACATTAAGTGCCTGAGACAGAAGAATATTAAACTATACATGTATAAAAATTTTTAAAAGTTGAGAGAATGTTCAGGGACCTACATACAGGTCACATCTTCACCTCATATTACATGGTAAATGAAACTGTGTTGGATGGTTGATTTTACTGTAATTACATTTACAGGAAAAATCTTATGCTTCTTAACAGAATTACCCCTCATGCATTATAAAAAATGCTTTCTTGCAATTGAATTTTGTTTTAGTTAATTCATTTGGTTTATTTATAATAATAAAAGTCCCCAAAGTTTTCACCCATCCCCTTGACACCATATTAGAATGCTATCCTTCCCTCTTTGGTGCGGAAGGCTCAGAAGGCCTTCTTAATCTACCCTTTCAAACCAATCAAGCGTAAAAAATACTTATTCAGGAAAAGGAAGGGTTCCAATTGAGTGCACCCAAGAAAAAATATGCCTTAAGCAGCTTTTAAGAATTCAGACAAGAGGCCCAAGGGCCTTGAATGGCTCTTCTGATAAATTGTACAATCTATCATTTCTATTTGAAGCCTCTAACCCTATGTATCCTAAGACCCAACTTGCATCATTTGACAAAGTTTGATGATTCTGAGCCAATTAAAACTGAAGATATTTTAATAAAGCTATGCAAAAAAAACATAAGTAAGTCACATTAACCTACTTTAAGATTGAAGTTTTCTGATAACTCAAGATGCATTAATAGACAAAGATTGAAGATTCTATACAACAAGTATTTGATATATTTAAAATTAGGTCACTGTGACCGACATTTTTGTCTACATTCTCCAAAAACCCAATATGCATCAACTGACAAAGTTTGATGAATGTAAGCCAATCAGTACTCGAAATACTTATAAGTACTGTAGAAGCACAAATTTTCGTGGGCATAAAATTTCGTTGTTTTAAATTGTCATCAAAAATAGTTTCGTGGGCATTTAATTTCGTTGTTTTAAAAGTAACCCTATTCAATCTATAGTCATATAAAATTTCATGTGGGATTTAATTTCGTTGAATTTTGTTAACAAGGAAATAAACGGAATTTAATACTCCACGAATATTTGTGCTTTTAGAGTATAGCCATAAAATGTCAAAAGTAGGTCACTGTGACCTAATTTTTATGATTTTCGAAAACCCAGGATACATCAACTGACGAAGTTTGATGATTCTAAGCCAATAAGTATCTGAGATACTCAAAAGTAGGTCACCATGACCTACTTTTTGGTCAACATTCTCTGAAAACCCAAGATGCATTGACAAACAAAGTTTGATGATTCTTAACCAATAAATACCATCAACAAACAAAGTTTGATGATTCTTAACCAATAAATACCAGAGATACTTAAATAAAGCCATAAAATGTCAAAAATAGGTTACTGTTACCTACTTTTTGGACCTAATTCTCCAAAACCCAAGATGCATCAACTGACAAAGTTTGATGATTCTTAGCCATTAAGTACCCATAGCCATTAAGAGATCCTTAAATAAAGCTATAAATTGTAAAAAGTAGACCACCGTGACCTACTTTTTGGTCGTCATTCTCCGAAATCCCAAGATGCATCAATTCACAAAGTTTGATGATTCTAAATCAATAAATACCTAAGATAATTAAATATAGCCATAAAATGTCAAAAGTAGGTCATAGTGACCTACATTTTGATAAACTTTTTTGAAGTCCCAAGATGAATCTACTGACTAAGTTTGATGATCATAGGTCTGAAGGTAATCAAAATATACCTTTTAAACAATTTGAAAACAAATGCCTGCAAAATTCAAAAAGTAGGTCACAGTGACCTACTTTTTCCTAAATATGTTTTAAGTAGTGTTGGAAAATCAGACGATTTTTAGTAACCGGTTACTCGCTTAAACTTCCGATCGAGTACCCGGTTATTCGGATGGTTTTTTCTATAGTGTCCATATTTATTATTAATCTCATCGTTTTACTTATTGGTAGAAATAAACCACAAATGTTACGTATATGAACATTATATGAATAAAAATTAAAAAAAAAACACACACACACAATATCTTCAAAGAATTTTGATTTTAAATGTCACTTGTAACAGGTAATCTGCAGCTAATGTTTGAGAAAATAATTTTATCAACACATGAAGACAAACGATTTTACAACTTTATGATAACATTTTCTGTCATAGAGAAAATGTGTTCTGATGGTAATGAACTAGCGGGAATGGCCAAGAATCGTCGAGCAAAAATGGATAGCTGGTTTATTTATTCATTTTTCAAAATGAGTTTCAATCTAAGGTGATTTAGAATATTTGTAGTTCCACCTGAACATGACAACTTCGATTCAAAATGATTTGCATCTAATAGATTACTAGTCAGTCATTTTTTAACAAAATTTCAAAGCTTTAGATGTTTGTGGCAGCATCTTGTTAAATTATACATTTACAAATATAACTTAAAAATTATTTTATACTTTTACCATGAAAAATGTATTTTCATCTGAGTAACCAAATAGCAGTTTTACTAAACGATACTCGCATCGTTCGACGGTTAACCGATTAGCCGGGTACTCGTTGCCAACACTAGTTTTAAGGTCTCAAGATGCATTAACTTACAAGATTTGATGATTTCTAAAATAATGGGATTAAATGTTTTAAAAAGGATTAGTCATAAAGTTCAAAAAGTAGGTCAAGGTGACCTACTTTTAAGTTAACATTATTCAAGGACCCAAGATGCATCAACTGACAAAGTTTGATGTTCATAGGCCTTAAAGTGTCCAAAATATGCCTTCAATTCAATTTGAAAACAGATGCCCGCAAAATTTAAAAAGTAGGTCAGTGACTTACTTTTTTTTATACATATGTTTTAAGGTCCTAAGATGCATCAACTTACAAGATTTGATGATTCTAAACCTCTCAGTGTCTGAAATAATGGGATTAAATTTTTCAAAAAGGATTAGTCATAAAGCATAAAGTTCAAAAAGTAGGTCACCATGACCTACTTTTGTTCTTACATGATGTGAAGTCCTAAATTGCATCAACTTACAAGTTTTGATGATCCTAGTCCTTATAGTAAGTAAAATATAAACGTTTATTAAATTTGGGTCAACTTTGAAGTGACCTTGAGACCACGCCCTTTGCCCCCGGGTAATTCCCTGTGCAATTTTCAATCTTCAACATATCCTGATCGATGTATGTAAGTTTGGTGAAAATCTGCCTGGAGGTTCTAGAGAAGAAGATTTTTAGCAACTAATGCTTTTGGGTTTTTTTCCCTGATTATCTCCCCTTATTTAAGGGTCCCAACCCTTATTTTACTATAAATGGTAGCCGGCCTTGGGCTAGGATACCCTGTGACAAATTTGAGACTGATTGGCTAAGGGGTTCTTGAATTATGGCCCATATTCTAAAAAGTTTATGCACACTGCACAAATGGCCATAGCATTAGCTCTTTGAGCCTGTGGCTCAGAAGAGCTAATAATTGACAAAATACATGTACATATATACCTACCCCAAAATACACGTGGGTTTCACATGTTGACAAACGCCTATACACCATCCAGGAAGTTGCATCATGTGCACCTAAAAATAAGTTCCCTTTAATTCAGTGGGATAATTCTGCTAAATTTAAAGAGGATATTCAATGTTTTGTAGCAGATGAATATGGAATTTATTTCACGAGTGGGGCAGGATTTTTTATATGCAAAGCACGAGTGAAAATATAAAAACATACGTAATCAGAGATTATACAGAGCTCACCTCAACGAATGTTGTCTTTAAGTAAGGCAAAGTCAAAACAATTATCCAACAAAAAGTGTACATCTAAAAATGCAAATTTATGCAATTTTGATGTGATATTTTAGAATAGATCTATATAAAAACTTCAAACTAGTTCTTCTTCATGAAAATGTAATTAAAATCCAGCATCTGAACAAGGTTGAGAGTTTTCATCCCTTGATGCATCATTTGTACAAGTTTGGTTTATAGAAGCCTAATAGTTTCTTGGTAATAGACCTGCACCCATAACCCATTCCTTTTAAGAGGTTGATGATCTGGAAAATGTTTGTCAAATTCAGAATCTGAAGCAAGTCCATTAGTGTGCATCCTAAGATGTATCATCCATGCAAGTTTGCTCAACATAGAGCTCAAAGTTACATGGAAATGAAACCTGTATAAAAAGCTAATCACTAATCCAGAAAATGTAGGTCAGATTCAGTATCTGAAGCCAACCTGGTAGAATGCACCCTTAGATGTACCATCCATGCAAGTTCGGTCATTACTAGGCTCAAAGATACTTGGAAATGACACCTGCACCAAAAATTTAACCTGTTCACTCAAACGGAAAATGTAGGTCAGATTCAGCATCCGAAGCAAGTCTGTAAGTATGTATCCCTAGATGTATCATCTATGCAAGTTTGGTCACTATAGTGTCCATAGTTACTTGGAAATGAGACCTGCACCAAAAACATAAACCTGTTCACTCAAGCGGAAAATGTAGGTCAAATTTAGCATCTGAAGCAAGCCTGGTAGACTAGTGTGCATTCTATGATGTACCACCCATGCAAGTTTGGTCAACAAAGGGCTTATAGTTACTCGGAAATGAGACCTACATCAACAAGAGGCCCATGGGCCATATCACTCACCTGAGCACTAAGGCTAAGAAAAAGTAGAAATTGGTTTATTATTGTAAAGTTTAATTCCAAAAGTAGTCCCATGACCAATCATGGATTTGCTATTCTTTAGAAAATGATTTTTATAGAATTTTCCTATACATTTCTTTGTAAAACTTTGGTTGGCCATTTTGCCCCACCCCCAGGGGTTAGGATTTGAACAAACTTGAATCTACACTACCTGAGCATGCTTCCATATAAATATGATGAATTATGGCTTTGTCATTCTTGAGAAGAAGATTTTTAAAGAATTTTCCTATATATTTCTATGTAA